CCTCCCCTTCCCTCCCCACTGGGCTGATCTACCATCTGCCACTCTGAGGGTGACTTTATCATCCCAGATAAAACCAGCCGGCAGTCTGTGGTGGGGAAATGCCATTGCTAGAGAAAGTATAATGTACAAGTACTGTACTCTACTACTATGCAGTACTAATGTCTGTCAGTAATAGGAACGCACTACTTACGGACTTTTTCTGTACTTTGTGCTGTCAGTTAAAAAAGGCTACATGAAGGTCTTTCCTGTTCACACTCTTCTCAGCTCGTCTATCTCTACCCACTAATCTCTTTGTCTTGGAGTGGTCATTAGTCTCTGTCTGTTCTTCTTCACTCACTTTGTCTAGTTAGCTAACGTTCCCTTGGATGTGTCTAATAATTAGCCCAGGTCTGACCTCCGGAGTTCACATCTGTCTGTAAGTGTGAGAACACGACAGTGGGGCAAGAGAAGAGGAACTGAGAAATGTGGCTAGCTTGTGATGCTACGCATACTTACCACAAGGAATGGTCTGACCTCTACAAGCAGTCATGTACAGCTGATTGGGTGGAACAAATGAACACAATAAGAGGATACACATAGCTACACTTATTCAAAGATTAATGGGGGACACAAACTTTTACACAATTACACAAAAATACCACTCAGAGAGCTGTAACTCACTACAGTGACCTACACACCGCCAACTCTTCTGGTCTCAGGCTGTGACCTTGAGTCCATCAGTGTACACCACACATGAGATTTCAAAATACATTGTGAACCATTGGCACAATTACCTCAAAGGAAATACTTGTTTATAAATAGAAACTGAGATTTAAATTTAAATGTAAATTCCAGTAGGAGGTTCACAAACAGATAAACTGCCAAGTACCTACATTTGATTGCTTGCTGTAACACCTATCAGGTCAGCCTGTCCTGCCAGAAGAACATGAGTTTCTGTATTTTCCAGCCTGTGCATGTGAACTGTCAGCACCCTCTAGAACCACATCGCCACTTATCTCTTTTCCGTGATAACAACCTTTGATGGTTCCACTATGAGAACCTCCAGACTCTTTCCAATGGGATCCAAAATCCCCTCCTGGTCACTGAACTATTCTGAAACAATGACACCACAGTGTGTGGACACATGGATAACATACTGTAAATACAAAGGTGAAAAATAAAAGTGTCCTATTAACATAGTTCACTGTTGTATTAGAAGGACCTTGGCATCCAAGGAATGGGCTCACCAGGAGGGCGGCAGGCTTACAGCTTAAAACCCAATAACGTCTAATACCACCACTGGTTCACTTAAACCCACATAGAGCCTTTATAAACACCGGTCCGGTAATCCTATAAGGACAAGTGAGGAGCAGCATTCCTTAGGGGAGAGTGATGCATCTCTTCAAGAGGTTCTGGACTCAGTCCTGATTGACTTCATGTCTGTTTTTATCATCCGTGCACCTCTGTGGCAGATCAGATCGAAACTATATCAGACCGTCTACCACTACCTCTCTTGGCTCTAATTCTGTTACGGCTTTTGCGGTCTTTAAAACACGAAATGCCGAAACAGTTGAGATGTTTTCAGAGTTTATTATTAACACTCACCTCAGATCAAAACAGTGTCCAGTTCAGCAAAACAGCATTGGCAGCAAGCCAGCAATGCAGAGAAGAGGTTGGAGGTCATTAACCTTTCACCTTTACCATGCCACTGAAACTGTTGCTGCACACTGTGGAAACTAAATTTGACTTAAACGATGCTGTGCCCTCGCATGTTTTGAAGTTGACTGTATGAAGAAGAACACAAGCCTCTGTGACAAACAGGAAGCCCCCGACCTCCACGTAACCTCAGCCCTCAAAGAGTCACGCCTGAGTGCTTCCCCATTACGCCGTCTTTATACTGTTCCAGTATACCATCACAATCAGTTCAGTCTAGAGAAATGTTCCTCAACCTGAAATGATGTTATCTTTGTACATCAAGGAAATCACAATAATTCAATAATAGTTGTAACAACATAAAGGGTTGAGCTGCCGCAGTGGAGGCTGTGGGTTTAACTCAACCGTCAGAGGCACAGATTGTCAGAAAAAGCATCTGGCCTAAAAACGACAGGAAATGTGGTAACTATGCACATTGATACTGTGGTGACACCTAATGATGGGAAAACTGAAGGAAAATCAGTAGCGTACTTTTTGTTACCATGTCATACTTATCTGACCTAGAATGAGGCAGCTAAAATTTCCCCCTAAGTTTGTTCTTATAAATAACAAAAATAATAATCAAAACTTGTTTTTTTATATAATTATGTCTTAAATAGAAATAGAGCCATTGTCTAACCAGAAGCTAAACTGTAGACCTTCTATGTAACATTATCTTTGTTCAGTCTTTGTTTTTTGTTTTTTTTTTCAAGCAACTGCAATCCAAAAGCCTAATCAAACTAAAACTTATTTTTTAGCCAGAATGTAGCTGTGTATTCTAGCAATCCAAAAGCCTAATCAAACTAAAAATTTTTAAAAAAATAATTAAACAAGACAGGAGCCAGTGTCCTTTGTCTGTATGAATTTAAAAAAATCTCAATTCTGAGTTTTCAGTAAAGTCACAGAATCCAGCCAGAATGTAGCTGTGTATTCTTAGTATTCCTCTAGCTGAAGTATAACAATCGTTTTGGCCCAGATCTTAAAAAGAAGAGTGTGCCACCCAAGGACTATTGTGTCATGTGTTATGTATTATATTAGTCAAATATGGGCCACTAGACTTTTGCTGTGTCCCTGTTTGAACCCATTCACACCATGTTCCCTTAAAGTCACCATGTGTAGAGATGACATAGATTTACTGTCTACAAAAGTACACATCACATACTTTCAGCATGAAAAAAAAAACCCGAAATATTGATATGAATCAGAGTATATTCTTCCATCTCACAGCAGTGGGAACTGTGCCAAAAGTGGATTTTTTTTCCCTCTGAAACCTGTGTCACCATTTACTTGCAACAAAAACTACAGCTCCCTACATGAATCACTGTTACTTTAGAGGTGACGTTTCTCAGATAACCTTTGCAGGATGGCTTTATATTGGTGGCATTTACACAACGTGAAAGGGTATTTAAGGTAATATGGTACTATTGTAACCCCCCCCCAACTCGGCATGCCTCCTGTAGGGACGCTACACTTTGACCCAGGAGCATCGATTCTTCCCAGCCAGCTCCATGACTGCCGGCTGCTCAGTTTGGCAGGGATGAATGATTAATGAGAGGAAAGGAAGGAGGAGGAAGGAGAGTGAGTGTGGATGAAGTGATGCTCTCATCCTGTCTGATTTTAATTGGACTGAGCAGAGTTGGAGTTGGAGACCACAATCCCAGCTTTGTGGAGTGAGGGGGGGGGTGTCTATGAGCACACGTGCAATGCTCAGGGTAAGCGTGTGAGGGGAGTGTGCTCACGGAGGGTGCAGATTAAATATGTATCGTACATGTGTGGCTGTGGGTTGGTAACATGGGATCTACAATAGTTTGCCCCTTTGTCCCAGCAGACCAAGGAGCATCCTGTGTGACCACAAGGCCCGGGGGTGAACTAGACCACCCAGGAGTTTAACACAGAACAACATTTTTTTTTAAAACCACAAAATCTTTGTTGTCTAAGTCTGGCTATTTCCAGAAGAAATCTTAAGTCTGATCTAGAGAGATAGCCCTAGATGTTATCTTGTTTACATATCAAGTGTCTCACTTACAAACTCTGGACATCAATCCAGTCCAAAGAAGCAGCCCATGATCTCGATCTGCTCCTCTGTCTGTTCCCACTTGTTTGCCCTCAAATTTCTGCACTTTATTCCAATTAATCTCACTCTCTCGACATCCAATCCAATTACAAATCTCGGCCATCTGGCTGTCTAATGGAGATCACAAACCCGTGAGGTGGGGGCTGAAGGGGGGGGGGGCAGTTGGACTGAATTCATTCAGATATCAGGAGAGGGGAGTTTAAGGGTAGTGGGGGTTGAGGCAACAGTTCTGTGTGTGTTGTGGTTTTGGGGGAGACTGTGGCATGATGGGAAGTCCCACTCAGATTAGTCACACAGCATTATTCTGACTGCGAGACAATAGGCGACGGGCGGCGGGCGAACCCCAGCTGTCGTCCATGAAAGGGCAGAAAAACAAGATTTAAGACTGGACGCGTCCTCGCGCTTTGCTGGCTGAGGAGTCTTGCATTCATTAAAAAGCCCGGGCGAGGGGGCGGTTCTTTTGTCCAGCTCCCCTTCCTCTCACCTCTATACCATACTGGACTTGCACTTTTTTTTTCCCGAATTTCTTCACTCTTCTGACTCTTTTCTTTTTCTTTGGGAATGTGTGCGGCCTCACAGCGCAATGTGACTCCAGGAGATACGGAGAGCACACTGGGTCCTGTGAAAACTCAAGGGCCTCCACTGGTTGCTGGGCACAGGGCCCGCTCAAAGGCTGGAATGAATAGTGCCCAGATATTCCCCTTTTTTAGTTCCAGCCTTTGAAAAGAAGCTTTTTCAAGAACTAAATTTACACTACACTGATCATCTGAAGCTCCACATGGTCCACAACGCCTCACTAACGAAGGGAATTGGGGAGCACAACAATAGTGAGAGTGATGTGTTGTTTTCATGTACCATCCAAGAGATAACATGAAGATGTTTGGTACTTACTTGCATTCTCCATTTCCATTGGAGGTGGGTTCACACCTCCCTCTGTTAAGACATGTTTCAGTTGATAGCGAGCATTTTAGACCTGTTGAATGGAAACAAAACATTGAAAAATCAATGGAATCAGTTGAGTTAAATAAATAAATTCAATATATGATGCACACACGCGTCTCTCCTGGTGCTTTAATTGATTTGCTACACAGTGGCCCTTAAGGGATTCCTGGGGAAGCCTGTCCTGGACAGTGGTGAGGCCATGGGGGACGTGTGGTGCGTGGCTTGGAGGAGCGCACACTTTTTTTTTTTAAGGGGGGAAAGCGCAACAGCAGCAGCAGCTGCGGGGCTCAGATGCGGAACAAAAGAAACCAGAGTCCAGCACGAGTCGTAAAACACTCTCCTCAGGGCATTGTGTACCGGC